TGATGGTTTAAGTTTCATTGAATAGGGATATTTGATGTGGGGAAGTAAACTAAAATAGCACATTTTGGGTAGCGAGAGGAAAAATTTTAAAGGCATTCAAGTGTTTTCCTGGTCTGAGTTTATTTCTCTACCCAACAAAATAAAACATAGTATCTTGCTCAAGCACCTGTTTATTCAACCTGGCCCATACTCTTCTTCGTTAGAATTAAAACAGTTGTATAAAACTGATCAAAATAAAGCCAACATGTATTTGCAAGGGACCACAAGACCTACAAATTCAAAACAAAACAAAACAATGAAAGAAAAAAAAAAACAAGATTGGAGGACACAGCTCTGTTTCTTAAAGCATTGTCAACTAACAGTACATACTAAGCAACAGCAGAGTTCTTTGAACAGTTCTCAGAGTGTGGCCCCTGCCCCAGTAACACTGGTAGTATCTGGGAACTTGTGGAAATTCAACTTGGCAAGCTCATCAGACACCCCGGGCTGTATCTTTTAACAAGGCTGCCAGGTGTTCCTGTTATAAGGTGAGGTTTGAGAATCAGTGCTTTAGGGTACTGACACACCGGAATTTTTAGACATGCAAACCAACAGCACAGATGTGGGAAGGGAGACTTTATGAATAAAGGCAATATCTATAGGATGTTCACCATAGTGTATGGCCTGAAGGCCATGCAACTTGGTGACACTGAGCTGGGAGCAGGGCAAGATCCCTAGAGCGGGAAAGTTTACTGATGGTTGTGCTTAAAAATGTTTAACCAACTTACCAGTTTCAAAGAGTAATCTTCTGTCTAAAGCTCTTCCAATACTATGAGAAACAGTTTAAAAATCACTTTCATTTATTACTACAACTTTACAGATAAATGCTGGCTCACACCCTTTCCTTCTTATCTGATCTTCCTATAGAACTTAATTTTTTTTTTTGAAAAGTGAAGATTTAAATATGTGCATTAAAAAATGCTCACCACCAACACACAAAAAAATGATTAGAGCCGATATCTATTTAGCTTTGTTATGAAGAGAAGGGAAGTCATTCTTCTTGAACCCCACGTTACATTTTAGGTATCTCAACTGTACCCATCCAGCTGTCCTATGAATTCTCTGTCACCAGAAGCGGTAGGTCTACATGCTCAATTTTGCTATTCAAGAAAGTCAGGTTAGAGCCCGGCTGCTGTCAGTTGCAGATTCTGCTTAGTATGCTTTTACATCCCACACTGCTGTATTTACACGCAGTGTTTTCATTAAAATCCTACTCTTATTTTATGCAGAAATTGTTGTCAAACTAAAAATAGCATTAGAAGTAAGACTGGCATTTCATGATAATTTGGACATCCTTCAAAATGTGGCACATTTCTAAGCCTCACATAATATCTAATAAATTCCAGACTGCTTTAGGATTTTACTTTCATTTTATTTGTTTAATGTTGGTGTTTGCAATGATCGAAAGCACGCCATTGTGATTTCACACTATTAATAA